TCAAGAACACTGATAAATGACTGGTAAAGGAAAGTGTCAAAATCACAACTGTAGTTTTTAACTATAGTTTTGTTTGGCATCAAAGTTTTTTTTTTTCTTTCTATTATATTGTCTCTTGGGATACTAAGCAACATCACTAGTTTTGAAGAATTTATTATAAGAATTTGAACTATGTTTAATTTTATGGAATTATAATTTTTACTTTTATGACAAATTGGAGTCTGTAAAGGAAGAAAATTAAAATTTAGATTACTCTAATAAAATTATTTTAAAGCCCTTGAATATGACTGATCAAAAATAGCAATTTTTTAATATTTTTTTTAAAAAAAATCAATAAAAAATAAAATAATACTATGCTTAAAAAAAGGCAAATTTTTTTGAAACAAATATTGACAAGGAATTGAAACAATAATTAGCCCAATATGAGCCAGGTATTTTATTTCTACATAGAAAGGGAATCAGAATATGGTACTACTTTGACATAAGCTTATTATTAGTAGACTCCTGAAAGGTAGCATTTTGTGCCTGAAAACAAGTTGGGGATTTCTCTCATGTGCTGGGCCATGTTTATATTAGGTTATGCACGGCAGCATGGCAGTTTATTTTGCAGATGTTCATAATGTACAGTCTTAAATCTTATTTCTATTTCTGGCATGCTTTTAAGTATGACTCATGCTTTCTTGAGGCCATCCTAAAAATACAGCTAGTTTCAATCATTAATGTAAATACACCACAGGCATCACATAGCACTATATAATGCTTTCTTTTAGTATTTTAATGAAATTTCCTGACAAATTAAATATGGGATTTGTTTGTTTGTTCGTTTTTCAAAATATACTATCCTAAAAAAGGAATAAAGAAAGTAGAATTTTTTATGGAGAAGTGAGTCCTGTGATAATATAATGTACATAACAGAATGACTGACATTTTAATAGAGAGAATAGAATATATTATTGATATCACCAAAAATAAGAGAAATAGTACTAATGGACAGAACATTGAGTCCACTAAAATTTTTGATGTATCCCTGTGGGTCTGCACTTGTAGGGAAAGTCTTGAACCTAGAGGACATAATGACTAGAATGTAGGCTTTAGATTGGAACAACTTGGGTCTAATATTGGTTTAAGGACTTACCAACTGAACAAATGATATTGCCTTTTCAGCTTTGATTTTCTTATTATAAGAAATAATGAGTATTTAACAAACACATAGCACTTACTGGACCATGTTCTAGCTCTGTGAGTACAATTTTTAGGTCCCTTATACAGATGGGGAAACTGCACACAGATTAAATAACTGGATTAAGGTTACACAGCTAGTAAATAGTAGATTTACAATTTGAACCCAGACAGTGTGGCTCAGGTCTGTGTCCTTACACAGATGTAGTCTGTTGCCTCATAGGGTTATTGTGAGATCTAAATTATTTTCTACACTATAGAAGATCATTTGTATTTTTATCTAGCACAGGATAAGAATGCAATAATTTATGGTTATTAGGGCTATTTTTTTTGGGGGGGAAGATGAAAGTAGGGAAAAATATGGTCATTGTAAGATACACCATAGCCTATAAGATCTGCCACAAGATTAAGAAGCTACTTAGAATTGAAAGTGATGATGAAAGCCTTAGATATCCTGACATCTCCTCCAGGCCTACATAAAGGAAGAACTTGCTATTGACTTGCATCCCTAACAATGTCGTCTTGCAACAGGTAGGGGAACTGAGAGGAATGCTTTCTCTGGGCTTAATTGTGACTAATTACAACTCCTTAGCAATGTGCTGGCAATGGAGGCAATTGAGGAAAAAAAAAGTCTATTTAGCATTTCTCAATTAGGATGCTATTAACCTTTTGGCAGTATGAGACTATCTTGGACATTTCATTTAGCATCACTAAATATTGGTAGTAAACCAAATTATTCCTCATTGCCTGAAGCTTTGCAACAATTAAAAGTATCCCGAGACATTTCCAGATGCCTTCTGCAGGTATTGGGCTATGGCAGTACTACCATTGGTTGAAAACCACTGTTGAGTGCTAAGAATAAGGGAAGTGGTTGCTGAAAATTGTCAGATATTTCTTAAGCCAGTGGTTCTCAACACACATGAAATGGAGGACACTCTCATGAGCATTCACAGGTCTATACACAATTTCTAGGGTTCTAACTTTAAATAACTCCATGCCTTTCTACATTTGATTGAGAACTGCTGCCTTGGATTTAACACAACCTTGAAAATGAATATAGTTCCAAGATCAAGACATTTAAATAGACTGGAACTATCTAGAACTAAAATAAGACTGTAATTGTGAATATTTACCAATAGTTATAAATAATAAAAGGTGGGAGGAAGCTGAAGAGACCAACTTGGCTTTACCTTTTAGAACTTGGCAAGTTTTAGATTTTCAGTAGTCAAGTCTAGATAATGGAATATCAGGCACATTGCCAAAGTTGAACACAAAGAGTAACATGAAACTGTGAGAGTAGGGTAAGAAAGCCTGTGGCCATAATAAGCCAAGGTTTGTAAAGTAGGAAAAAATACCCCAGTTTTTAACAATTTATTTGATATTAGAGTAAGAAGAAGTAGTAGCTCTGCAGCATAGGGAAAATTGTGTCATATTACTGATAAAGAATTTAGGGTTTCTTAATTCGTATTTATTTTGTCCTTGAACAACAGGGAGACTGACTTATTTTGAAATAAGATTAGACTGTTTATCACAAAGATGGATAGGAAAAAAATAGTTACAAGGACATCTGTTAGTTATATGTGAGGTTAACTCTGTAGATCCAGGTGAATTGAATCCTAATACCAAGAAACTACTTGAAAGAGTTCTCAGAAGTATAAATATTAGAGCAGTGTTTTTCAATCAGTTTTTTATTATGGTTCTTCTAAGGACATTCTTCTCCATCTCAATTTTCTTCTCCAATTCCATGAAATTTTAATACCACAGAGATGTTGTATACCCATTTATGTAAAGGTCCTCCTTTTAGAGGACCACAAGACATTGTAATATCTAAGATTTTTTTTCTCAAACTCTCTTCCAGTAGCTTCCCCTGAAGATGTATGCCCCCATCCATGTCTTAGAGGATTGATAAGACAAAATAGAAGCCAAGTACCTCCACTTGGGTTGATTTTCAGACATAGAGGAGTTTGTTTTGGGGAAATTACAAGATGCTTTAGTTTACTCCAGTGATATAATAAACCAACCAATCTACCCAAAACCTTTCCCTTGATCTTTCTACCAGGATAAAGAAAACCAGAAAATTACCTTTTCTAGCGATTAGTTTTCTTTGGGAGTGAGGGGCTAATAATGTTGTGCTGTCAGAGCACAACAAAACAAAACAAAACCACTTGCACTCCTATGCAAGCTTTCTTAGTTGGATGTTCAAATTATTTCATGACTTCATTGGATGATTAAACAAAGTTAAAAAAGCATGGATATTCAATATATGCAAAAGAGCATATAACATATGTTTCTTGTTTTATGTATATATAAAATGTAGCATAATAAAGCAAACACTGTAGCCCATATCCAATTTAAAAACTAGACTACTACTCATACCATTGTAGCATTCCATGAGAATCTCTGTGATTCCATGCCCACCTCACATCCCCATGCATCCAGTTTCTTGAATTTATCATTCCTTTGCTTTTTGAGCATTGTTTTGTCATGTTATCTCAAAAGAATTCATTTTCTAGTTTGTTGAACTTTATCACAATAGTTCAAATGATTTATTTTGTGGCAGTTTTTCACTCAATATGATATTTTTAAGGTTCAGCATTTGTTGGCATTTTCCCTTATCTGAAATGCTTGGAACCAGGAGTATTTTGGATTTCACATTTTTTAAAAATGTGGAATATTATTTTGGAATATTTGTTTATATCTTAGAGATGAGACCCATGTCTAAACATGAAATTCACTTATATTGCATATATACATTATACACATTGCCTGAAGATAATTTCAAACAACATAGTCCATTTCCATTTTGACTACAGCCTGTCACATGAGATCACATGTGAAATTTTTCACTTGTGGTGTTATCTAGGCACTCAAAAATTTCACATTTTGGAGCATTTAGATTTCAGTTTTTTTTCAAAGTAGGTGATAATTTATTCTGTTTTTGTTCTTTTGTAAATTTTCTATCATGTGTAGTTTATCATTTTCCTTTCCCCAGTTTTATTTCATTTTGAACAATGTTGCTCAGAGTATTCTACATGTCTTTTAGTTGCACAAGGGCAAGAGATTTTCCTATATACCTAGAGATGGACTCTTTGAGTCATTGGGTAGTTTACACATGAACAAACACAATTTATCTGTATTAATTTAAACATTTTAGAACATGTTGAGGTAGAAGATAAGCACATTGGAGCTTATTTAGTAGCAGACTTAGAAGGGTATTGTATGGAGTAGTCTTCTGTTCCCAAAAGAATTTGTACAGAAGAATAGACTTAAATTATAAATTCCAAAGTAGTTTTGAATCTACATCAGATTTTCTAGTTGTGGAGTTTGGGAAACCTTAAAAACATTGCTAACTTAAGTTATACTTACTTGTCTCCAAATTTTCAAGTCTGTGATAATCATTAATTGAGGTGATTGTTTGTATCTCCCTTTTGGAACAAAAGGGTTAGGCTGTGGAATTGTGGTAAAATAATGATACGAGTTCCTCAAGTTATCCTTGAAAATTACTTTCATTTCTTTACGGAAACTTACAGTTGATTATTCAAATGTCCTTATATGTTTTCACATGTAGGGTATGTGACTTTTTGTGATATCAAAGACTTCGTGCTGTTTTAGCATTGATAATAATAGTTTTATTGTGAAAGAGTAAAAATTTACCAGGTATCTCTATAGTCTCAGTCTCATCTCTTGTCTCATACACAAACACACACACACACACACACACACATGTATATTTTAAAATATACAGTCTGCATTGCTCAGAGATTTGTACTAAAAATATTAGTCCAATTTGCATTTCATTTTCTCTTTTTTCCTACTTAAAGTTTCAGACCCTCCGACTCAATCTGTAGTTCAGCATCTAAGATGGATAATGCAGAAGGATCTTTTGGGGCAAGATGTCTTTCTGATAGGACCACCTGGACCTCTTCGACGCTCTATTGCCATGCAATACTTGGTGAGCAATCAATTCTTGTCAATTCATAAAGGTCTTAATTTTGATAATCTATGTAATAAGTAAGTAAGCATTAAGATTTATAAAAATATCAGAATTAATGACTTCTTGAAATACCAGTATCAAAGGGTAATATATAAATGTTTGGCAAAAGTTATTTGGGAAGAAAGTACACATCTACTATGAATGGCTTTAGCAGATTTTTCTGTAACTAGAAAGTCCTCCACTTTAAAAAGAAAAGAAGTATAAACCCAGACAAGTAGTGGATAGAACCAGCAAACAAACAACAAACACACTTTAGTTTTAAACTACCCAGTGAACTTTCCTTATCTCAGGTTTACAGCTTAAAAACCCAGTTTCCTTGAATTGATGAAATGATAGTCTTTGGAGGGAATGTAAAGGTTTGTAAATCATTTCTAATGTGTTATATGCTTTCTTTTTTTTTCTTTAACTAGACAAGAAAACAAATTATCAAAACTTAATTAGCACATTCTATCTTTATCCAATAATAAATGATGGAGCTCGACTTTAAATCTCATATTGTTTCCCCTTTTTGACATGTTATCCAATGCTAGAGGTTCTTTGAAAACTTTAATAGAATTGAAATGTTTAAATATCAACCCAAATAAAGTTTTATAAGACTTTTCTACAGATTTATCAATGTTAATCGATTGGCATTGCTATACTGAATCAAGAAAGAATGCCATCAAATGAAGTTGTGCTCTAACAATAGTTTTTAGGATGAAGGGAAAACCATTGTTCAAAACTTCTTTGAATTATTTGGTATTAAAGGATTGGTTTCTATGCTATTGAATTCTACAACATATACTTAATTTTATTTCAGTGGTGAATTTACTTTGGTACTTCAAAAAGCATGTGAGGAAGGAATGATAAAAATACATTGGACGGGCTGGGGTTGTAGCTCAGTGGTTGAGTGCTTGCCTGGCATGTGTGAGGCACTGGGTTTGATCCTCAGCACCACATAAAAAAATAAATGAATAAAAACAAAGATATTGTGTCCATTTACAACTAAAAAAATGTTAAAAAAAATACATTGGACAAGCTGGGCAACAGTGGTACATACCTACAAACAGCTATTTAGAAGGATCACATGTTTGAGGTAGGCAACTTAAAGAGACCTTGTCTCCAAGTATGAAAAAGGCTGGAGGTGTAGCTCAGTGGTATAGGACCCCTAGTTCAAACCCCATAAAATGGATAGGTCAGAACCTAATTCTTACTACCCTTAACTTTTGTATCTTACTTATTCCTAGATCCAGTGTGTGAGGCATAACATGCCTTTATAGCATTATCATGTCTTTTTTAATAATGTTATTGTATTTTTTATAACTTTATTTTATTAATTTTTATGTGGCATTGAGGATTGAACCCAGTGCCTCGCACATTGTTAGGTAAACACTCTGCTACTGAGCTACAACCACAGCCCCTTATAGTCTCTTTATTAACACACATGGTGAAATTGTTTTGTCTAAGAACAGGGGATCAGCTACTAAGAATCCCTCGAAATTTCTGCCTCTAAAGACATTATCTATCTCTTTAATTTTTAGATGTACACTCTCTCCCTTGCTTTTTTCAAAGACAATCTCATTGAGATTTTGATTCTGGCAAGGCTTTGAAGCTTGTTGGGATTGTGGAATGAGAAGGACAAGGAGATTTTAGGGGGGTTGTTGGTTCAAAAATGCAATATAAGTCTGTCACTGTAAAGCCTGTATGTTTGAACACAACCACAACCAAACTTTAAATTGTGAAATACAGCTGAGGCAGCCATATGATGTAAAAATACTCGTTTGAAAATTCAATACTAGCTTAAGCCACCCTGTAAACTGTGCACTGAGTACTATTGTTAGTAGGTATAAGAGCCTTTATTTAGTCATGCCCAGAGTAGATAATATCTTTAGAGGCAGAAATTTGGGGGCAAACCTGAAGAACCAAAGAGAAATAAGTTGATAATTGTCTTTATGTGATATTTAACTCATACAAGTTTTGTAGATTTAAAAACAAACAAACAAAATAAAGCAAAACAAAAGCCCCCAAACAAAACACTCAGCAGACCACTGCTACCTCTTCCTAGTACTGTTGTGGCTTGCTTGGTCTACTGTCATGAAGAAGCACCTGAAGAGACTGTAGTGCTTGTCATGGCTGTCCCAGGAAGCTGTTAAGACTGAGGATAATGATAACATTGTCCTCAGTGTGGCAGTTCAAGGTTTAACTGTGGTGCAATTTAACAATCAGAGGCATACATAGCCTTGTCAACCATTGTGAATGACAGGGTTTTCAGTGAAGGGGATCACATTCAGCCAATGAAAGAAGCAGATATGAAGGTAGTAGTGATATGTTCCAGAAACAGGAAGGAGGTTATCTGCTAAAAAGAGAAACTGGTACTTTCCTCCAAAATTGGATCTCACAGACAATTCATTTGTATTTAGGAAACTGTTGTTTGGTAACACCACATCTTTATCACTGTGCTGTATGTATTCTATACTTAAAAATGTTTCCTCTTTTCCATACATACTTAAAGTTATAGCAACATGGGAACAAGCACACTTTAAAAATGGAATGAAAATAATGATGTATTTTTTGCTAATATAAAAATAGAATGCAGAGAAAAAGTTACTTTCTGTGGTAGTAAGCCTTTATGCCATCAGTAACATGTTCATTCAACTTTTTCCTCTATTCTCTGGTAAATTAATTTGTTTTCCCTGTTTAGTAAAGACTTATTAAATCTCTTATTTGACTGGAAAATATCATTGTTTTTAATTCAAGGATAATGCAAGGGTAATGTTAGAGGTTTTTTTTAAATCTTGATGTTTGTTCTATATCAGACATAATGAGTTTGAATGGATAAATTATTTGGAAAGAAATGTATTCTGGATGATTTTCCCTTCAATCATATGATGTTTTGGTAAAATGATTCCCCCCACTCATTCCTCTCCGTCTCTCCTCTCTCCTCCTCCTTTTCCTCGTCTTCCTCCTTCTTTTTTCATCTCCTTCAGCTGTGCTTGTGTGTCTCCTCTCTGTTGACCTGACTTGACATTTACCTTACTTTAATTCTTGGCAAATTATCTAACTTGCTGTATATATTTGGTAAACATTGGTCAATGGAATGAAATAATTTAAATCACGTTTAAAATTACATGAACTATACTTATAGAAATTGTTATACTTTGTGAGTACCAAATAGGAATGTTGCCACACTATTATTCATGATATTTGAAAAGAATTCTACAGAAGAAATTAAGGTTTACAGGATCTAATTTTGATATATTATTGCCCTAGTAGGACTGAGTGCAGTAGAAAGAGAGCACTAAGAGATATATGCATTTTGATTAGTATTCAATAGGTTATATTTTTCTCAAAGCTGAGACTCAAAAGATTTTCATCCAGAATTTCATTTAAATGTTCTTCTCAAGGGTATTGTCATTGTCAAATAAGTTGTTCCAAATCATTTTCTGGTAGTTTGATTTTAGTTCTGGAATAACTTAACTCTCTATCCTACAGGAGCTAACCAAACGGGAGGTTGAATACATTGCCCTGTCAAGGGACACCACTGAAACTGATCTCAAGCAGCGAAGAGAGATCCGTGCAGGCACGGCTTTTTACATTGATCAGGCAAGTTCTTATTCCACTCCAACCTGTGAATGGTTACTCCATGACTGTATGAAATTGATTTTTAAAGTAGAAAGAGAGTGGCTCATATAACAGTGAAAGATAGATATACTATGCCCTCTCTAGACAGATTTAATTTAGATTTTAGGTTTTCTCATTCTTGGAAATGTCTCCTTGGTTTTGTACTAAATGAGAAACACTAGATGAAATTAATGGTTCCAAATTGTCAGCTAATGATCAACATGCCAATTTCTTTCTTTTAATTTTTCCCTTTGGTACTGGGGATTGAACCCAGAGGTGCTCAACTACTCAAGCCAAATCTCCATCCCTTTTTTTAATTTTTAGTTTGAGACATGGTCACACCAAGTTTCTTAGGGCCTTCCTAAGTTGCTGAGGCTGGGTTTGAACTTGGGATCCTCCTGTCTCTACCTCTGAGCCACTTGGATTATAGGCATGCATGATAGTTATTTAATTTTCAATTTCTTCCTAGTTTTTACCTATAAATATTTGATTATCTAAAAACAAGAATTAAGGAGATTTTATTATAGGCAATTCACTAGCATACTTATTTAAGTATGAATGAAGGTCAATTGGGTAAAGGTGTATTAGAGGGAATGAAATTAAATATTTACTGCTATGACTTTAGCTTTTCTTGAGGGGTGTCTTAGGTATAGATTGCCAACTAAAATAATCTTCTATTATTATTATAATATTTTATAATATCCTAATATTATAATGATGCTGATTAAATATTTCTCAAATATATTACTTAAAATGTTAAATGTTGTTCTTAGTAATACCTTATAGAAAGTACTGTACAGACTATAAATAATCAATTTGTAGAGAAGTGATTTCAAATATACAATAAATTCATGGAAATATGGTTGAATTTTTTGTTTATAAAAATAAAATTAAAACACTAATGTGCTGCTGTTTTATTTCACCTCTCAAATTGGGGAAGAGCGAAGAATTCACTAAGGTTCAGTGTTGATAAGGAATAAGGGATGAAGAAGCAGCATTGCTGTTGATGGCAACAGAAATCAATGCAGTATTTATTTATTATTTATTTATTTATTTTTATTTCTTACATACATGACAATAGTGGAATACATTACAATCATAATTATCCATTCACAGCACAATTTTTCATATCTCTGTATATAAAGTATGTGCACACCAAATTATGCCATTATACATGAGCTCTCTTTTTTTTTTGCTTTACAATTTTTTTTAAAGAGAGAGAGAAAGAGAGAGAGAGAGAGAGAGAGAATTTTTTAATATTTATTTTTCAGTTTTCGGTGGACACAACATCTTTATTTTTTATTTTATGTGGTGCTGAGAATCGAACCCAGCGCCCCGTGCATGCCAGGCGAGCACGTTATCGCTTGAGCCACATCCCCAGCCCAACATTACAATTCTTAATACACCTTTATACCACAATTTATCACATCTCTGTTTGTATATAAGGTATGTTGACACCAAATTCACATCTTCATACATGTATTTTGTATAATGATGAGGGTCTCCTTCCACTATCCATGTTATTCTCTTTCTCCCTTCCTTTCCCTTCCACCCCTATTCCCTATCTAGAGGTAATCTTCCTCCCTTGATGTCCCTCCCAACCCAGTTTTGAGTCACCCCCCTTATATCAGAGAAGAATTGATTTTATTTTTTTAAATACATG